ATGTGGTTCAAGAAGAAGTATCACCAAAGAGTTTGTTCACAGACAATAATCAAAACCACGGAGAGCCAACACCATTTCTAAATAAACGAGCTACCAAGGGAGTTGAAAGTGTCGATGAATACATACTGATCAAAGAAGAACCACCCGATGCACCATCACTTGATCCAATACGAGGTGACTTTCTAAACCCTCAAATGATTCAAAATTCTAACTTGCTCTATCTATGTGCAGGAAATAAAGTTTTGAGGACAAAAATTCTTGAAGAGAGAGGGTATGATGCGGTCATAAATTCATTAGCTGAACCAGAGCTCCATTAGACTTACCACTCGAGCTGCATAGAATCCAACATGGACATAAGTGCCTTTCATGGAGCATGCCGAACTAACCAAGAGGATTTAAGCAACAAGGAAGCTTTTTGCAGAATATTAACTCATCAGAGATTCATAGAGAAAGAGAATTTGGTTAATAGGAGCTGGGATCTGATCGGAACTGAATTTACAACTCGGGTGATTCCAGACCATCTTGCTACTGAATCCGATGTAGACCTATGGCCACTGTTTGATCAATTCCGGCTCAACCACAACGATTCAGGTCATGAAACCGCTTGGATTAGATTCTCAGGTCAGATAGTGAACTCCTCGAAGTGGAATCAGTCAAATATCAGCTCCCACGAAGGAGTTATTAAGTTTTCAAATTGGATGACTTCAAACTTACCCGATTTGGACCTACGCGCACTCATTGGAATATTGCGACTAAAACAGAGAGAAATAAGCTACGAATCGACTTGTTCTATAATCTTCGTTCATCAGAGAACCACAGAGAATTGGATTCATGCTAAAACCAAAAGAATTTTGGAAGATATCAATTTTCTAATCCAGAGGATCTCAGACTTGCCTTATTTGGAGCCTTGGAGCATTAAACCACAACGGTCATATTTCTATCAACTTGTGCACGTTCTAAAGTCTCCCTACATCATCAAGAACATTCCAAAGTCACATCACTTCCTCCCCAAGCTGTCAAGATACAAGGAGCCTCCAACTTACCTTATTTGGCCGATTGGACATTAATTCTCCAACGGCTAGTTTCTGATTTAATATTCATGATTTTCTTCTTGTTTTAGACCTTATAGATGTTCTATGTCGAGCCTATATAAGCTCATTTCATTTCTCATTGTAAATCACCCTTCATCTTGAATTATTCAATAAAAACGTTAAGTTTTGTTTTATGTGTCTTTTGTGTTCTTGTCATTTCAAGCCCTTGGTGAGATTCCATTGTCTTGTATGATTGCGTTTCTAGGTTGTTTATGAGATTCTAACAGTATGGTTCGCGTGTTATTGTGGATTTAACAACAAAACCTCCATCTTCATCTCTATAATCATCCATCTTTCGCATGCTTAGCTTGTAAACTCTCGATCATCTTGTGAACATAAGTTTGGTGGATTCCAATCTTATATCACTATTGGTCAAAAGTAATAATTTCAGTTTTTCGCGCAGTAACGCGCGAATTGTTTTCAATTTTTTTTATTCTTTTTCATAGGTTATCAATCTATGTTTGAATTTAAGCCATTGATATTTAAATATATGCTCATGTAAACATTAGTATCAAAAAGTTATATTTGTAACGCGCAGATATTTTTCCTAGTCATAAAAAAATAATATTTAGAGTAAAGTGTAAAAGGTAAAATATGTTGCCCATTCATGAATTTTGTTATTCCTCCATTTGACTTGACTTTCGTCATATAAATTGGTATTTTTTCAAAAAACTTTTAAAATCAAAGCCATATAAATTGAACTTTACTAATCCAACACGTATTAGGATAATACGTTATCCCGATAGTTTGTGTGCAAATGTTATAAAGATTAGATACTACACACTCGAATTTTATGGGTGCTAATGTCGGTTCTAGACCAGCATATATGCTTGGCGCAACATAATTCATCGACGTGATCTATTAGCAGGCTTAAATGGTAGTATGTAAGTTATGGTGAGTCAATAAACGTTTGGTTAAATTCACATTTTCTTTATCTTAATCTTTGTTCTTGTTATATTAATTAGGAGGATCATGGAAAAAATGATATTTGTTCCTTTTTTGTCATATTTGTTAATAATCTGGAAAAAATGATGGATAAAGTGGAAATATATTTGCTCTTAATTATCTGACAAGTGGTTTTTTCATTTAGGAATCCATATTGAAAGATGTTCTTCTTATGAGATTAAATCCTGGATTTGATGCATAATGGTCTTGAGGAACCCATCATTGCTTATTTATTGAAGGAATTCTCACAACACTTGTGTATCTTCATGGACAAGGACACGTCCATGGAGATGTTACGGTAGCATACTTGTTATCTTATTTTGTGCTAACCATTTTTTTTTCCATTTGATACCACATATATGCTTCTTTATAGACTGCGAACATACTTGTTGATGTACAAGGAGCTGTTAAGCTTCTGGACATCAAATCATGCTAATTGATTCGGACTAAACCGTGAAGCTCGGAGTTTCGATATGCATGTCTAAAAGTGTAGACATATGCTTGCTTGGCATAATTGCCCTAGTACTTGCTCATGGTCATGTACTGTTTGCTAGGTATACACCCATGGAGGTGAGTTTTCTTGTAGATTTCACATTTCTAATGTTATGTATTTGTAATAATGCGCTATTTTTCTTCATTGGTCTGTGACAAAATATTTGTCGTAAAGACTGTGACAAAATAAAGATATTCTCCAAGCATTTTAGACTGTTGTTGGGAGCTTGCTTGGTTACAAAAGACCTTCGAACAGCTGAAAAAACTTATGAACCATCCATTTCTCCATAAAGCATGTTCTACTAAATTTTTTATTGCCATTCTTGATGTTCTTTCTTCGCTTGGTGAGAGACATAGAAAACTGAAGGTTAGTTTATTTTTCTGTTGTTATTATCATTGCTTATCATTCATCTTTTTGGATCGTGTGACTGAAACTATGAAGTTTTCAGGCTCAAAAAGAGGAGTAATGATCGATAACTACTTCCAAACACTTGAGTTTAGGAATGGTTGGTACGACCATGGTACTGGTCCAATCTCAATAACCGAACCACGTTTAGTTGTTTCAACGTAATACTTAGTTCAATTATTAGATTCTTTGCAACTCCTTTGCGCTACTTATAAAACTAGAGTTGTAAACTTGTAATTAATAAGCCAGGCCCGGTTCTTAGGTAGTGCAACAGGTTCATTTGCACCATGTCCAACTTTGATTCGACTTTTTACATGGGTTTTTTTGCACTTTTTTAAAATATAGGGGTTTTAAAAAAAATTATTAAAATTTAAGGTATAATTTGCAATTTTTGGTAAATTTTGTACTATGTTGGTTTGGCAATTGGGCCGGGCCTGTAATAAATTCAACAACAATTTGTATTGTTCATTAATCTAAACAACAAAACATTTTGACAAAAAAAAAACAAATATTAAAGCTATTTTACATTTTATATTTCCATTTGAGCAAAATAAAAATGGCTAATGATATATTTGCAAAGCAACTCAAGGTGGAAAAGTTTAAAGAGACAAATATTCAACTATTTTTACTTTGATTTCAATCACGTTTTGTTACCCAACCATTCGGTCGCGTCCGACTTCCGGTCCTAAGTTCTCTTACACACATGGTACACACTATTGATTATGTTTGGAAATAAGACTGAACGAGAACAAGAATTTTCAAAGTACCATTCGGGAAAGTTTATAATACTTTTTTTTGCAACATTCTTTTCATTTCTACTCATCCACAATACAAAAAGAGAGAATTATCCATCCTCTTAAATTTCGATAATACAATTTAAAACCAGTAAATATTAAAGCATGTAGAGATTGATCAATTGACAACGAATCGGAGTTAGATCTTAATGCGTCGAAGAGATCTTACTGGCAAAGCCGCAACGGCCACCAAGGCTGGAATTAGCCACTTGTAATGACGTTGAAGCTGAAGCCTCGCCTTCGGAAGTCGCCAAAGCGCTACCGTTTGTTTCTTTGAATCTCGAGACTCAACTAAACAAGAAATCAATTCGGCAAAGTAGTCATTCATAAATTTTTCCGGCATGGAACTCGGGAATAATTCACCTCTCAAAGAGAAGGAAGTTTGCAACGGCCTCTCCCATAGGGAAGAAACTGCTAAGCTTGACATCTCCAACCAAGAATTGATCGAAACTCTCACGGTATACAAACCTAGAAAACCCTCCAAGGATTTGATCTAGGAGATGGATTTGAAGTGGGAATAAGGTTTGGGCTACGAGGTCCACTTGAAATATATTGCACGGCCCAATAAAACTCCTCACTGTATGCATCATAAATGCATAATGGCGGTGCTACGGCAGGTTCAAGAGGAAGTCTTATCCGATAGATGAACCTGAGGGGTGGATGAAAGGCTATGATACACCGGAGACTCGCCAAGTCGGTTTTGAGCCCATCTCCAGGATGGAGGAAGGAGGTGAGCAGAGGTGAATGATGCGGTTGTCGTGAGCCTAGAGATGTGGTGAGGGAAGCCACCAGAGCAGAGAGTGACGATTGTAAAGATGGAAAGGATGAGCCCGACGGATCTAGAGGGAAGGCAAGCGGCATCGGTTCGGGAGGAGGAAGCAGCACAAACAAATCTAGAGCAGGCAAACACGGATCCATGGAAGAAATAAAGAGGAAGGATAAAGAGGAAGATTCTCGTCGGTAGG